TCAGCATTGTCTCAGCATCATAGCCCTGACCAGGGCCAAGCAGTTTCAAGATTTGTGATAGTGGTAGAGGATCCATGAGTGTAGTGACAATGGACAAGTGCAGGTATGCCTGCTTGGGGTTGGCACACATGGACAGGATACAGTCATATAACTTGTACATGTCCATTCCTGCTAGCAGCTTGCTTGTCAGTTTGAGCATCAGCTGTAACCAATCGTGGGGATCCTTATATTCATCGTCAATAATAAACTTCACCATTGTAGATGCCACAATGAAATGTCTGCCAGCACGGCTCACTAGCTATGCAAGTTGATCCCTTGATGGCTGCAGGAAATTGGGATGGCGACCTCTCAGCTCTCCAAAAGAGTGCTGCAGGAAAATATAAATGACATTGTCAACATCGGCACTGTCTAGTGACAAGATAGTCCCAATGCCCTCTCCAGAAGTTTTCACTGGTACTTTGCACACCAATGAGTGCACCACATCATTCTGGAAGACTTTACTAATATGCGATTCTGAGTGACTTGTGAGCAGAATGTGGGTCACAGGAAGATCAGGGTCACAAAGAGCCTGTGCAATAGAAATGATGAGATCAACAAGCTCAGGTTCGGATGTGCATTCATCAAGCGCATCAATAACAAATGTCAAAGGTGCACACTCATGCAGTCTGGATCGAAGCCACTGAAGAGGTTGGAGAAAGAGAGCCTCCATCTGGTCACAGAGAGGTGCATCAGGGTCTAGTAAAGCAGGATTGTTGCAGATGACTCTGTTCACATCCTTTCAAATGTTCAGGAAATTGTTGGCAAGCTGGTAGACAAGTGTCACAAAAAAATATCCAGTCATGCAGCGTTTGGTGTGCTTTCATGAGAAAAAGAATGTTCCTGCTAGCCTCTTTTCAATATTCGTCTGCTCTGTCACTTTTAAACCTCCCATCTTTTCAGCTACTGTGAATGCGATGGCAGACTTTCCAACTCCAGCCATACCATGCAGCCAAATGAGTTGGTTCTTCTCAGGATCATCCAGTAATTCATGGATGTATTTGAGGAGATCAATCCAAGTCCCTTCCAAACATTTCAGGTGGGGCTGACGTTCACGGGAGTTATATTGAGCACCCTTAACAGCCACTTGGGACAACCTGGCCCATGTTCCTTCAAACAATGGAAGGTCTGTCAATGAGGTCAGAGGGTGAGAGAGGGATAAGAGATATACATGATACTGACACTGATTGTCGCTCATTAATGAAGGCTGTGATATGAGTGTGATGGAATGGACTAATTGAAAGTACTAGTTGGGTTCAAACTTGGTGCAATTAGAAATGATAGTCATCTCCGAGTCAAGGGATGACATACAAATATTTAAATCACTGCTCATAAGTTGAGACAAGACTTCGGCTGTGAAACAATCCAGCTATTGAGTGATGAAGAGTGTGGACCTTGATTGATATGAGATCAATAAGTAAATACTTCAATCTATGGAAGACTTGCAAGATGGTAGTGAAATGCAGTTGAAGGACAAGTGGGTGCCTGTCTGGTTGCAGGACCTGCTGTACATGCCAGCACATTGGTGTCAGACTTGACTAGAGCCTAAGACACTTCAAGCACACTTGGCTCACAGGCAACTCTATGTATTAGGGCTGAGGAAGCACAGAAAACAGTGCTGTAGAACATTAGTAAAGGATCTATTATTCATTGTGCAATCGCATGTCACCCCCTGAACTCAATGACACAGCCTCAAGTTGATGAAACAGGCAAATTAACCTGGCAATTGTAAGAGTTGTGTCCTGAGTTGATGACAATATTGACAGAACCTGGATGCACGCCGAGTCTGGAAGAACCCAAGTTGATGCCATATTCGCATCATTCCTATGATAACTGTAAAGTACTTTGTGACCTACGCTGACTAATAACTCTGCTGTGGACTACACCGTGACCTTGCGGTCCCAAGCAAGAGCACAGTACTGTAGAGTTACGACCGTAACTTCGTCACATGTCCCACCCCACAGCGAATCGAACCTATTTGATGTGATGGTCACACTAAATTTCGGGGAGCGAAGTTATTTTGTGACACGCGGTAAAACAGGAAAAATTGCCAACAAAAAAACCAAAAATTGCTACGGACAGTTATACACGAGATTCATTCTGAAGGGTCAAAATTGATGGACATGCTGAGAAAAGGCCAAACTCACATGGATTGCAGCTGCCAGGGTGAAGCTAACTTGGATAGGTCACACGTCGCAAGGGCCTACGAAGCTGCGAAGCTAAGTGTGACATGGTCACACCCGAAAGGGCGCGAAGCTACGGTCGTAACTCTACAGTATACGACATAGAAGAAACAATAACTCCGCTGTGGACTACCGAGTAACAGTGTTGGTCTCACAATGCACACAATGTGTCTCCACGACGCCACACGATGGATATCGTTTATAAGGTGAGTATTAAAGGGCTCCTGCAAACCAACTTTACATTAGTTACTCCTCCATCATGGAACCTGTTACTCAACTTTCATTTCCGTTTGGTGACCTTCCAGTCGAACTAGCCCTCCTCATCCTTAGACATGCCGCACAACCCAGTTTTTCCCAAACTGAACCATACAAATCTAAAAACCCATATTCATTCGCCCTCGCTCTCTGTCTTGTATCTAAAGAAGTCAGGAAAACGGTGCTGCCCGAAATTCTTCACACCGTGTTACTCCCGCAATTACACAATGTAACAGCGTTCGTGGACACTCTACGCATGCAGCAAGCATACGCTCAACAAGACCATCAATTCAAATTCGACTACGCGAAGTACGCACGCAGGATGTGGATGGGACAGTTTCGTGGTTCTCTCCCAGGACTTTTGCTCGATGGATTTGGACCAATGCAGCTTGGGCTAGACCTCAGCCCCCTTGCCCCCATCCTGCTTGCTGCACCATGTATTGCAGTCGACTTTGAGAATCTGGGCCTTCTGTCAGGCTGCCTTTTCCATGCCTGGAAATCCCGCGCGAACAACCACGAAGGTTCTCCGGCTCTGTACGGCCCAAAAACACTGATGGTAACTGGTCGTGAGTCTATGACCCGTCAATGGTCGTCCTTCACCAAGACCGTCCATGGAGCAGCTTTTCTCGCTTCGATATCTCATGTCATCTCCATCACGTACACAGTAATCGACAGCAATCGGCACGCGTATCGCCTCTGCCACTCCGGCAATAGATGGAAAATCTACCAGCTGCCTGAATGGATGCAGCGGACTCCGCTCAGCAGCCTTCAGACCTTTTCATTGCCCATTCCGCATAGCGCACACCGGCTTGCTGAAGGTGAGCTTAGCAGCACAGACATGAAAGTAGAACTTTCGACATTCTCTGTTTCTAAACTGTCGACGCGCCAACGCACACTCAACGACATAAGGACGATTCAGCAAACAATAAGTTTTAATGGTCCTTTGGCGGTGTCCTATCCTCGACCATCATCCTCTTGTATCCTTTGTCAAGACTGGCTGAAAGCTTGGGCCTGTAAATTAGGAAGCTGACGGGTGGCATGATGATACGAGTGGTTATTCGATATATTATGCTTGCTCGCCAGCGGTTTCATGCTGCCTGTGCACTTCACCCATCGGAATTCAGACATGGTCAAGACTAGTTTGTTGCTTATCATCTACTTAAATGCGGATTCTGGATTTTTTGTAGATTAAGCACGTTTTATCGCCAGTTGATTATAAGAATACTTTCCCTTCGAAATCATGAGTCCTCCGACTCGACATGTTGCATTTATGATATATGACCATTCAAGTAAAAAAAATCACCAGAGGAATGGAATGACGCGCGCAGGCACTCTTTGGATGTATGCGCAGTATTCTGCGGCAACAGCAGAATCCTCCATGATAAGAGCCTCCTACGGATAAAATGAGTACCGCTGAGTACACAAGAACAAGACACTCGCCTCAATAGGCATCTTGACAGCGAACGCGCCAGCAACGATACCAAGACCCACAAGTGGGGCATAAGACCAGAACATCACTGCGAAAAGCGCCTGCTGGATGAGCATGTTCCTAAAGGACATTAGCATCCAATCTAACCAAGATGATGCAACATGAGACTCACATGTATAGCGGATGACGCACCAGCGCATATGGACCTGTCTGCACGACTCTGGGCTTCTCTCGTCTCTGGTGAGGAGCAGTCAGCTTACACATGTCCACAACACACAAGTAATAAGAATGGTGCCCACCCCAATTGCGTGCCACTGATTCCCGAGGTGAGTGAATGCGCGTCCCACAAACCTGAGGAGCACAAAGGTCAATGTACATGCCCCGATCCTTAGCGCCACTTTGGTCTCGTGTTGGAAGTAGTCATTAGGTAGGCTCATGCGCTGCATCCACGCAGGCTGCGTGAACAGGTTACCGGTGACACATAGAATGTATGTCACGGATGGGATGAAGGACGCGAGGGCGTGTATCGGGGACACGGCCTTACCGATGAAGGTGGTTGGGCTTGTGCGAATGGTACCTGATTCTGCTTTAGCGATTGGAGCGATCGCGCGAGTGCGGGAAATTCCATATTGAAAGAACCGTAAAGTGGTTAATACTGCTAGTCCCTCCACGGCTTGTTGGGGTACTGGAATAGTGAGGCCGGCAATGTAATACATGCTGGACTTGGATATCAGACAAGTGTTTGGAGTTGTTTCCGATATCCGAGTGATGGTTTTATATCCCGTGTTCGTCCTCCACTGACTTGGCAAGTTGGAAGTATTGCCAGTGCTTTATGATGCGCTTCTGACTGGCATGGTCCTCACGGCGGTGTCAATGACCAACCGTGACATAGCGAATGACAAATGATGCATGGTGAGAATGACAAACACGGTTGCTCATTTGATGGGCTGTGTCGTAGGTATCCAAGCTGATATCAAAATGGACGTGAAATACGGCCTGCACGGACTCACCAACTTGCCCTGTGTGACAATAAAACCGACCGAGTCCAGTGTCGGGATCGATGAACTCCGCTTGAAGGTTCCAACTTCGTCATCTCCTCAGTCATCCCTACCAGTGAGCGAGACTGGAGAACCGTTCGGTAACGTCACACCACCGAAATGACGAAAACGAAAGTCAACTCCCTGCAGACGGCTATTTTTACATTACTCTAACCTGATGAAGAAAGTAAGCATCGAACGGGCACACAGGATTGCAAGAGGGCCACATGTCATGTACTATGATAATATTAATATCAGCGCATCAATTTTCGTTGAACAATGACATTTGATTCTGGGCCAGGTCCAATGAGGAACTTTCGCCATCCTTTACGAGGTTCGAAATGTACCTGCCACTGTACTCCTTTCATCGAGCTGATCGCAGAGATTATTGATACTACCCATGACAGCTCTCAGGCCTGAGACCTCGTGCGAAACCACATCTATCTGCTGCTGGCGCTCAGCGATGGTGGTCTCAATGATAGGCCGGTCTTTGAGCTCGATGACAGGGTAGTTCATTTGGGGGGACCGGCTTGGGAATATAGGGTTCGAGGTTTAGAATCTGGGTATCATCAATGAAATAACACCTGATATGGATATCTAGATAGAAATACGGTCACTTGTGAACGTGCGAGCTGAAGCGAATGAAGATTGTTATATACAGACACGAGCACCTATAAAAAACTGGGGACTTACGATGTCTTGCAGAGCGCAAATAGTGTCCGAGACAGACAAATTTGCCTTTGAGTTGGCCGCCATATCCTCGGTTGCCTGTATGTTGCCTGTTGACGCGGGGAGAACAATACTGGTCGATGTGAAGTAGGGTAACTCCGATTTTCTCCTATTTACATCATGAAGTGAGGTCTGCCGGGGCTGACTAAGCTGCTTGAACGTCCTTAGTGTTAGAGTTTGGCATTTCACACCCTTCGTGACCGCGCAATGTTCGGATACTATCTAGCTACTTGTCTCGATTTCCCCTTCGAACTCTCACACAGCCTTACACCACTAGGCTCTCCTTGACGCCTCCCACCATTTAATAAAGCGTGGCTCTCCAGCTTTTACAAGTTACACTCCAATTCCTATAAAAACAACAAAATAATACCGTGGATGACGTGGGTTTGGATACATATCATACAAACGCATATCATCCACGGTATTCTTTAAGCTATGAATGCTCTGAAAAGCTCTATTAGCGCCTAGTACGCAAAAGGCTTGGGACCGGCTTTTCACATCCTTCGCTTCCGAGCCGTAGTCGCCACAAGTTCCTGATTTTAATAGCGAGTGGTGACTATGACAAGAAGGATCATCGTATCTGCAAATTTACGTCAAAGTTATGCCGTGCTATCTGAGGTCGGATACAAATGTGAGTAAGAACGTTGAACGATGGCAAGGCCCACACTCGGAGCTACTCAATATTCAATAGGCACTATGGAAAGCAACACCAACCTGACCACCTTGACGAGCTTCAGCGTTGAAATTAAAGGCGATCCAACCACATCTAAATCTAAATCAAATACTTGGAACAAGACGCACAGCGTCGGATAACGCCTCGGCACAGCAGTACCTGCAAATTGATGTACTTGAGGGGGATTATCGGAAATAGCCTATAGGAAAAACGCAGGGTAATGCTATATCACAAAAGACCGCGGGCATCCAGCAATAACAAATAACATAATCTTCAGATTAAATGATATATCACCAAAGGAACGGAATAACCCGTGCAGGCACCTTCTGCATATACGCACGGTATTCCGCAGCAACAGCAGGGTCTTGCATGATAAGATCCTCCTAAAACAAAAGGCAGTCAACCCCTGTATACAGCACAGACTCGGACGAGATACCCACCTCGATGGGCATCTTCACAGCAAACGCGCCAGCAACAATACCCAATCCTACAAGCGGTGCATAAGACCAGGTCATCAGAGTAAAAAGCAGCCCTTGGATGAGCACGCCCCTGTCATAAGGGAGACGTCAGAACCCAATCTCCCAGCAGATGACACAAGAGACTCACGTGTACAGCGGGTGACGAACCACCGCGTATTGACCCGTCTGCACGATTCTAGGCTTCTCGCGTCTCTGAAGAGGGGCAGTGAGCTTTATGTCTTGTACACGTATGAAAAAAAAGACGGCACGCACCCCGATCGCGTGCCACTGATTCCCGAGGTGCATCATTGTGCGTCCAGTGAACCTGAGGAGCACAAAGGTCGCTGCGCATGCTGCGACTCTCAGCCCCACTTGATTTTCGTGTTTGAAATGGGTATTAGGAAGACTCATGCGCTGCATCCACGCAGGCTGCACGAAGCGGTTAAATGGGACGCATAGGATGTATGTCACGGGTGGGATGAAGAACGAGAGACCGTGTATTGGGGATATGATCTTGCCGATGAAAGAAGTTGGAGTGGTGCGGATGCTACCTGCTTCTGCGTTAGCGACTGGGGCGGTTGTACGTATACGGGATATGAGATACTGGAGATATCGGAAGGTGGTGAATACGGCGAGTCCTTCTACGGTTTGGGCGGATGATGGAAGAGCACTAGTGAGGCCAGCGATGTAATACATACTGGACTTGGATATCAGTTGACGAGTTTGCGGTTGATTGATTCCTATTTCCGTGGTACGATGGTACATTTATAACATGTTTTGGCGCTCATGTTCTGGTATGTCAAACAGGTTAACAGGACTGGCCTCTATCACTGGTGGGGTCCTCATGACAAAGACCGTCAGACGGTGTGAATATCACTGACAAAGTCTATTTGGAGTTACCTCTGTAACAGTTGAGGCTGTGCTACGACGAGCCGATATTAATAGAAGTTGATTTGAAGGCAGTAGTCCTCGTGCCAGAAGTCATGATCACAAGGTGATGACCACCAGCTTTAACTGGTGTGGTAGAAGCGCACTATTCCAGGTATATCAGTATGATAAGAACTGACGTACAAACGAGCACGCAACCAGTGCAAGGTTCAGCAATGGAAACTCACGTAAGTACATTGCACGGACAAGCCCACTAACTGGCATGTTAAGATATCATTTAGGAGGTGGTCTTACGAGCTGGGTAAGTGGATACAGTCAAATATTGATCGCAGCACCTAGGATAAAAGAAGACTAGAACTGGACCCGAAACGATATTAATTGCGAGGCTTGGGTTGTTACGGTGGAACATTGCACGGAGTATATGCGGTGTGGAAGACGGGCGCTCCGCACTGGACGGCACCGCCAAGTTGATGATCAGAGGAATTTCGTTGTCTTCCAATAATGATGAAGAGACTGGAAGGCCGAGGTTTAAGCCGTAGTCGGTGACAGTCGTGGCGATAGTTCATGTACGTGAAACATTAAGGACCTGACAGCATATGTCATAAGTAGCATACAATTTTATGTCAAAGAGCATTTCAACGTTGACCTCATGAACTCACCATCGTTGTCGTTGTCGCCCTCGCCATCGTCGATGGAGTTGATGAATCCATGGAGCAAGGTTGGTGTTTTGCGTTGGCATTGAAATAGAAGCGTGATTTCTGACCTGTGTACTATCACTGCCCTGACTGAAATTTGACTACTGCCACGTTAAACTCGTCACACATCGCCGCTGGTCGTCGTTGTTATCCCTCTCAGTCGCTTTCATCTCAGACTACACTCGAATCACCGGCCACGATGCCAATTCATTTCTTCACTGAATCACAACGGGATGGTCGTGCAAGTCTAACCCGAGAACCGAAGGGAAAGGAGAGGGAATATGTTGATCACGTCGAATTTCCCTATGGTGCGTCGCAAGCTGACCCGCGAGCTCGAGCTTACATTCTGTAGATCAAGACTCTGCTGCAGTGTTGACCGGGTCCGCTAGCATCTCATCTCATGAATCATTAAGATATCCCTATTTGTATCCTGCTCAGCAACCAAAATCACCTCCAAAGCCCACATCTCCAAGAAAACCTCGCACTTCCCTCCTATTCTCTCTCGTTCGTAAAAAGACTGGTCCCAGTGGCCATGTTTCTCAATACGCGCATCCCATCGTCATGCCAGGCGTCATGGAAATATCCCGCCCATATTCCTATGTTCAAGAGGAAGAGGAGCGAGAGAGACTCAGAGATGCTGCTGCTCAGAGTATTGGTCTCGTCGACTATGCTGCCACTGAACACCAAGAGGATACTCGAGAGGACCAAGTACCGACATCTGCAACCATTGATTCACATATATCCTTACCTTCTCCCCCTATGCCTTCATCACCCATACCCTCATCAACCCCAACCCTCTTACCTCATCTCCCCCCCTTTCCTACAACCCTCGCTTCCCTCACATCACGAATCACACTCACCGGCACATTTCCCAAATTCTGTCCCTCGTCCTCTCTCCTCGTATACGCCCTCGCAAAGCAGTGGAAGACAAGGTCCATAGTCCTCACGACTGCGACCTCGGCCGCATCCCAGACAGTCACACATCTCCATCTTTTCAAATCAAATATTCCCTCATCCTCGGAGCTTCACCGCTTACCTATCACCCAAGACACTGCTATTTACGTTACAGAGCAATCCGGACCCAGTGTGAACTATACCCGAACCAACAGCCTTAGTAAACGCGACAGCAGGAGCGGAGCAAGAGGCAGCGGAGGCAAGTCAAATGGCTCAGTCGTTGCTATTGAGCAAGGCAACATTATCTGGCATTTCGAAATGCAGGATCCGAGCGAGAGACAGAAGTGGATTGGTGCCATAAAGGCAGTTGTCCTGGGTCAAAGGTGAGTTGCGTCGCGTCGCTGGGTCCTGATTTAACACCCCTCTCCAGATCCATGCGTGCAGGTATCACTGCATCACCCCACCTCAGTGGGCACGAACCCCGCGGGGACATGGATGTCATGCTCTCCATGCGACTCCAAGCATCATTATCTTCCGCCGCATCCCCTATATCACCCCCAGCTTCATCAACCCACACCTCATCATCTCCTCCACCTGTTTTGGCAGGTTCCCCTTCCCTCTCACCGCCCACATCCCCAATTAGAGCGTCTCTGTCGTTCGAAGGCATGCGTTCCCAACCGCACACACGGTCTTCGACACCCAACCTACCCGCACCCACCGAGCCCTTCACGCGCGCATCAAGTATCAGATCAACCAAGAAATCCCAAAGCCAAAGTTCCAACGCACATAGATCCAACTCAAACTCTGACTCCTCCCCAACGCCTTCCATCCACCTCCAATCCAAGCGCTCAGGCAACATCTCCCCTATCCAACTCTCCCAAACGCACTCTTCTAAATCCTCCACATCTACTACCAAGACCATCAAAGGCATGTTCACGCCTCGTTCTCGTTCGCCGTCCTTGTCTCTCAACGGACACAGTCATGAGCGCGAAAGTGAGCATGCAGAAGAGAGCTTTGGGACCGTGGGGAGTAGTTTAATGGGTATCACTAGTGGCGTGGGCATGAGCACCAAGAGGAGCAGCTCGCCGATGCGCCGTTCGGACTCCCCCGTTCCTAGCGTGGCATCGTCAGGACCCGACGAATCTAGTGTGCACCTGTCAAACGGGAGTACACACAATG